TGTCGCAAGCGACCGTGGGTATCGAAATTGTTCCACGCTACGTAGTTGGTGTTTGAAGTGAACGAGAGCTTGGCTAACAACAGGGACATGTAACGAGAACGGTGTAAATATGTACGTCGATACGCTGGGGATTCGAGCTTCTGTAGAAATTCCTGGGGAAACTCCGAATAAAAATCGATGCAAATTTTTCAGCCGTCGATCAGTGATATCGAGAATTATTTGTTACAAATACTTAATGAATTGTGATTGCATAAAGTTGGACTGTTGGTGGATAGAAAGTATAATCATGTTTATCGAAAATCGAAAGAGCAATTTTTGGAGTGACTGATAAATGCGACTATGGAAATGATAGAGCTTCCATAAATCTGAATGCAATTATCATAAAGGAAGGTTGGCAGAAAAAGAGGAAAGCAGAAAGCAACAAATCTACCAGGAAGATGTGTTCTTGGTAATGAGCCAAAAGTTAAACAATTGACAGTCATTTATTGTATTACAACTGAGTTCTAACACGATCGATTCCTCTACGTTAAGAAATCGTTGGAGGCGACGAAACGCGTTTGCATACACGGAACATAATTTTGTAAAACAGGTACTACTCCTATTACTAAACTGAAAGCGGAATGCAGATTACTATAACACTTTCTATCGTTAACAATTTTAAAAAGGAATTGTATTTAGTTATGCGATTCTGATAATTTAGTTATTAGTAGGTCAGGAAGTTTTAATGACAAAAACAAATTATCACTGCCTGTTTAACTGCCTGTTTAATAATGATAACACTAGAACTCAGCGATCAGTATCTTATGTGTACGTACAATAATTTGACATAAGAAATTAGTTTTCCAAAATCGAACATATTTTTTTCGTCAACAAAATACATACCTATACGTGTATATATTCATATTCGGGGTGCGGGTACTCAAAAATTCGGGTCATTTGGAGATTTTTTTCGGTTTCGGACGGAATCCCGAAAGCTTATCGAGTTGGTCAAATTTTCGGGATACTGCCCGGTATTGGTATTTTCAGATACCCGCACAGCCAATATTAATATGTACTTACTTAAAAATGGGTTACTGTTGTCAAAAGCTGGACAAGATTATATAGCGGAATTTCACTGTCCGAACTACGACTTGATACGGGTACTTCATTGCGTATTAGATTTTTCTCGATTTTTCTCAATACTACTTTATTAGCGTTACGCTGAAAAATGGTTTACATTCGATAACGAACTAACGTAGCAATATTGATAATAATTCTTTTAACATATTTTACTTATCAACATAACGAAATAGAAGTGATATTATGTGTGGCTCAAAGTAAAAATCATTTAGTAAAAAAGTACTTTTAACTTTTCTTTTAAAACAGATCCGAAATAAA